AAAATGTCCCCCCCCCCCCCCCCCACCTCCCCCTCCCTCGTCTTGCGCCATAACGCACTGCTACGAATTATCTTTTTATGTATATACATATATTTTCGAATTTTCTACGCCCACGTACGATTCACCCATATCCCAACGAAACATGATTTATTAGCGTTAATGTTGTTGTCGCGATCGGTGTATATAACTAATGTCGAAATCGACCTAAATCTATCTTCAGTTTGGTTATTCCGAAGTGCGTTAGTACGAATGTACATAGAAATCCGCATAGGAAGGCTGGTACGTACGTCATAACGACATTTCGAGTAGATCTGCGAATCATCCCTAGATTCGTCCAATAAACTGTCGGCGTACTGCAGACGAGAGTGGTTTCCGCTTTCCATTAGGTCCTACAGGTGTGCAATCCCAATGATGGTGCCGATGGGGAGTCAGTTCCAGGCTCGTGCGATCGCAAAATGTGGCCGCCTGCAGGTTAGCACGTGAAACTCTTCTCCTTGAATCGAAAGAGCAGCATCGACCTGGTTAAACTGTAAAAATTGATGTGGACTCTATCGATAAAATTTATCTGGATTTGATTCAGGAGGAGCTGCAGTTAAAGAGAAAATATAAGAAATTGGGGAAATCGTATAAACGCGAGTTCAGTAGATCATTCGTATACGATATTTATCGGTATCAGAAGTTTGACTTAATCGACTGGAAATATTTTATTTATTTGAAATCAATATAGGTTAACGTTTATTTCGATTTCGAGTTAAACACCAAGATTTTATATCCTGTAATTTTGATTTATTACAGTGTTGAGTTATTATTTTTATGTCATAAATATTGGATTTACCGGAACCATTATCAGGCTGTGTTTGCGTGCGTCAAGTGACACACAATTTTTTATGGCAAATTGCTGCCGTCACTCGTCAAGAAAACGTGGAACGAGCTTGCTTGCATAATGGCTTTGACGATTCTCAGTGGGATGTTTTGCAAGGTACCTACAAACGTGTACGGGCGAATACCTTGCATTCAAGTTGCTTCCGCGCACGTGGGGTAAGCGACAGTGCTGGATGCACGTCAATTTGCCATATATACGTATATAGACATTGGTGACTTGGGTTGCCGTTGCTCGATTCTGTGAGCGTCGTACACATATATTTCCTCACTTACTCTTCTTTTCTCAAACCGAGATCTGATTTCATATCTAGCTCTATATGCAAGATACGGATATATAATATGTTTACGTACAGAAATAGAGATATCTACGTTTATACCTTCTAAGGGGAGGTAGGTGGGTTTGTTTCTCATGGGATGGAATTTGCAGAAACGCACCTGAATATGCACGGGTTCTAGTACAGTAGAGACTGACGTCTGCATTCCAGACAAAATCATATTTGGTTTGGATTATTCGATTCCACTTTGGAGCGAGGACTTATACTTGGCGGCTGATCTGCCTTGGAATATACTATATACAGCTATGCACCTTGCTCCGGTATGGTTAGAGGATTCCGTAAGGTTTTCGAAATGAAGATCGGTTCGAGAGGTCGAGATTCTGTAAGTGGAGCAATAGCAAAATTTACATCCTCCACTCGCCCGACCGATCGCCACCATACGTCTGCATCTCAGCATCCCAGCATCCGACGTCATTCGATATCTCACCTTCTACATTGCCATCCCTTACTATACTTTGCTCCAATTTAACTCGGAATCGGCAGCACGTTCGTTTTCCTCCTATAAGAATTGCTATTCCAGCTACCCTTATTCTCAGTGCTGAATGGAACGAACCAATTTCGAGACTGACACTGAGTTCTCGATCTGAGTCTTCTGTAGGGAACGAAAGTTCCACGAGGATTTCAATTTTTCTCAGAACAGAGATAAGTACTTTTAGACAATTTCGAAAAATGTTCAATTTTAGCTTGTAAAATTACATCAAGCCTTTATTTCCCTTATTTAAGCAGTTATTCATAAAACCTATTTTTCTTGAGAAATCCTACGTAAGGGATATTACGTAATCCACGGTCCTTCTTGTTCAAGCCATTGTGTATTGAAGCGAGATGCTCCCTAATCGATATTTAAAAAGCTGCGTTCACCGACTAGCACGTTACTCCTCTTCGGTATCTGAACAGTTATCAAGCATACAAATGGGCGTAAGGGTACTTAGTGCTTTTCATCCCCCCCCCCCATAAGCTCTCCTTTTACTTTACCGCTCGTTAATAATGTTATGATTGAAGGTTAAATTCCCTGAAATTGCGTCAATTAACAGGAGCGTTCTTCGAAGTCTTAACTCGGCCTTAAAGACCTTTGGAATTTTACAGTGAACACGGTAGATAATGGTTGTCAAATTGGCCCTTTAACTCACTGTTCGATGAATACTGGGGCTTCGGTATATGGACAAAGCTACGAGATATCATGATCAAGCAAAATGCCGCTTAACGATCCTTTTCCTTTGATCGATCGGTCTGTGTAATTTCGAAATTTCATCACTTCCGCTCAATTCAATTCATATCCAGCTTCTT